GGGGGGGGGGCTTGGAGTGGGGTAGGGTCACGGCGCTCAATTCTTACCGCATTCCTTCTAGTTCCATGAATTGGCCTCACGCTGCCTCCTGTTTCAGGGCCTTTGCACATGTTGTTCCCTCTTCCTGGCAGAATTCCCAACTCCCTTTCTCTGCTTAGCATCTGCTAAGTGTCAGGTGCCGTTCTAAGTGGTGGGAATACAACGGAGAGCAGGGCAGAGAACAGGGCAGAGAAAATCCTCACCCTCATGGATTTTGCATCTGATAGAGGCACAGACAAACCAACAGAGGAAACAGACATGTGGTCCCATCAGAGGGTAAATGCTGTGAAGAAAACAAGGCAGGGTAAAGTCAGTGGAGACAGATGGACTAGGCCTGCTGTTTTATATGGAGTGGTCAGGGAGTCTGACACCCTCTCTGAAGAGCTGACACTTGGACAGAGGCATGCAGGAGGTGAAGGAGTGAGTTGTCCAAATGTACAGGAAACAGCCTGTTGGGTTGGGGAAATAGCAAGTGCAAAGGTCCTGAGGTAGGAGCCTGTTTGGCGAACTTGAGGACCAGTGAGGCCAGTGTGTGGCCCAGAGTGAGTGAGTTGGCAGGAGCCATGGTAAGGAGTTTAGATTTTATTCTGCGGAAGCTAGGGAGCCATTGGAGGGCCCCTGAGCCATTAGCCTGAGGTGTGGGCAGGCACATGTGTACCTGTCATCTCCCACAGCCATTTTAAGAGACCTCACAAGTGACTCTTTTTCTGTTAATTGGCAGGGTCCCCGTAAGGAGTTACTGGATTAGCACAGCAGTGAAGATGGCAGGATAGGGCTCAAGGCTCAAGAGAGAAACTCCTTAATGGTTTGCTTTGATGTTGTCCTATCTCCTGGCATGCCTTCTCTCTAGGCCCACAAGTCCCATGTCCTCATCCTTGGCAGGAGACCAGGGACTACATTTGTACTGTCGGCTTACTGCTAGTTCACACCCACAGGTAAAGAGAATTGTAGCTATCGAGAAGAAAGGAGCTCGAAAACCAGTTCTCGCTAAAGTGTGATTGACCAGTAACAGGCAGTCCCATTGGCGGAATCCCAGGCATCTGGAAAGAGCAGAGGGAAAAGTATTTTATGAGCATCAGGGGTTTGGAGATGGAGTGACAGCTGGGACCTGCAAGATGTTGGATGACTCGGTGAAGGACTTGGAACCCTTTCAAAGAGCCTTCCCAGCCAGGCTTTAAGACGCTGGGGCTCTGGGGAACGGTGGATGAGCCCGGGGCCCCGGCAGAGCTCCCACCCCACTGACCTCTGGCCCTTGCTTTCTCAGGCTACCATGCACAGTCGTTGTGCACCGAGACCTCAAATACCGTGTGTGCCCGCTGCGAGGACAGCACCTACACCAAGCTCTGGAACTGGGTGAACGAGTGCTTGAGCTGTGACTCCCGCTGCACCTCTGGTGAGTGGGCTCAGAGCCGGGGCTGGGCCCTGACACCTTCCCCCGACCGTTGTGCAGCCCAGCCCCTTTGACTGAAAGTTGGCTAGGATTACCCCAGGCCAGGTGTTTTCGTGCTCCGGAGCCTGGGGCTGTATGGGTACAGCCCTTCCCTGTTTACCAACTGCATTTTTTTTTTTTTTAAGTTTAGTTATTTATTTTGA